CTGCTGACCCGGCAGGCGCGTCACGCGGCGCTGGCCGTGGACGGGGAGGCGCGGGCGGCCGCCGTGCGCTCCAAGCGGCCCGACATGGCCGTGGCCAGCGACCTGTTCGTCGGGGGGATCCCGCCCGACGTGCGGCTCTCGGCGCTGACGCTCAGCACCGTCAAGTACGAGCCGCCCTTCCGCGGGTGGGTGGCCGACCTGCGGGTGGGCGACGCGCCGGCCGCGCTGCTGGGCGCCCAGGGGGTCCGGGGTGACGGGGACGAGCGCTGCGCCCACCACCCGCCCTGCGCCCACGGCGGCCGCTGCACCCTGCGCCGTGGGGAGCCCCGCTGCGACTGCGCCGGCACCGGCCACCGCGGGCCCTTCTGCGAGGAAGGTGAGGGCGCGGCGGGGGCAGAGGGGCAGGGCTGAGGGAGGGGTGGGGTGGGTGCAGAATCAGCTCGGGGGTCTCATGGCCTTCTCTTTCTCCATGGTTTCGTTGGGCACCTCTGTGTCTCGGTGTCATCGCGTCCTTGAGGGTCTCTCCATCTCTGTGGCGTTGCGTGTCCTCCTGTTGTCACCTCCTCGTGTCTCTCCGTGGAGTGTCCATCTTCATGGCTGTGTTTCTCCGTGTCCCCATGTGCTCGTGTCCTCCCTCAAGGCGTTGGGTGGCTTTGTGTTTTCTCCATCCATGGTTTTGGGTGTGCTTGTGCTTCTCCGTGTCCTCTTGGCCTCGCACGTCCCCGTGTCATCGTGTCCTCCACATGCCCATGTCCCTGTGCCATCATGTCCTCCACGTCCCCACATCCTTGTGTCATCTTGTCGTCTTGGCCTCGCACATCCCTGTGCCATCGTGTCCTCCACATCCCCTCATCCTCATGTCATTGTGTCCTCCACATCCCCCCTCCCTGTGCCATCATGTCCTCCACATCCCCATGTCCCCGTGTCATCGTGTCCTCCACCTCCCCACGTCCTCATGGTGTTGGGCCTTGGGTGCTCCTCGTTCCTCCATGACTTCCTGGTGTCCTCGTGTCATTTTGTCCTTGAGCTCCTCCATGGCTTTGTGTCCTCGTGGCGTTGTGTGTCCTTGTGTCCTTCCTGTCCTCGTGGGACTGGACACACCCACGGCGTCTGACTGGTCATTGTCACGGTGTCCTCATGTCACGGTGTCCTCGTGTCACGGTGCTCCCCCGTTCTTCCACCCTTGTGGGGTTTTGTGTCCCCTCTGTGTCCTCCTGGTGTTGTGTCCTTGAGTAGCTCCGTGTCCTCGTGTCCTCCTGGTGCCACAAGTTCCTCTGTCCTCTTGCCCTTGTGTCACCCCGTGTCCTTTCACACCACTACCCATGTGCTTCTCCAGGTCCTTGTGTCCTCCTGGTGTCACCCGTGCTCGTGTCCCCCGGTGTCCTCGTGTCCTCCTGCCATGTCTCGTGTCCTGGTGTCTCTCTTTGCCCTCATGATGTTGCACACCCACACGTGACCACCCCATGTCCCTCCATGTCCTTTTGTCCCTCCCGGTGTCCCCCTGTCCTCACGTCCCTCAATGTCCTCTTGTCCCCCCCAGTGTCCCCACTCCTCACACCCTCAGTGTCCTCCCCCACCCCCATTTTGCACGTCCCTGTGCCTCTGTGTGCCCTCGTGTGACACACGTGACCCTGCTGGGGACTCGGGGGTTTGGGACACAATGTCACCCCCCGTGTTTACCCATCCCGGTGTCCCCACACGCCCTCGTGTCCCTGCCTGTCCCTACCCTTGCACGCCCCGGTGCGATGGCACGCCCTGCCGTGGGCTGGGTGTCCCCGCGGTGACAGTGACGGTGACGGTGACAGTGCCAGCCGGGCGTGGCCCGGGGGGGGGGGGTCTCTCGTGCCACCCCGCCCTCGTGCCAACACGCCCTCGCACACGTTCCCGGGACCCGGGGACAACCGCCGGTGTCACCGTGGCGACAGCATCCTCCGGGCGCGTTGCCAGTGCCAGTTGCCATGGTGCCGCCGGGGCTGGGTACCCGTTGCCATGGAGACGCCCGGGCCTGTCTCCCTGGTGACGGTTGTCACGGCACTGCCGGATGCTCCCGCCACGTCCTTGAGGGGGGACAGGAATGGAGGGGGGCTGAGGGGGACTGGGAGGGCCCTGGGGTGCTGTGGGGTGACCTGTGGGGTACAGGGATCCTATAGGGAGGCCTGTGGGGTGTGGGTTCCCTATAGGGTGCCCTATGGGGTCCACGGTGCCTTTGGGGTGCAGGCAGAGCACTACTGGGTGTGCCATGAGGTGCTGGGTGTCTGAGGGGTGCTATGGGGTGCCCTATAGGGTGGCAGGTCCCAGTGGGGTGCCCTATAGGGTGTTGGGGTGCTGTGGGGCACCCTATAGGGTGTTGGGGTCCCCTATAGGGTGCAGGGGTGCTGTGGGGCGCCCTGAGGGATGTGGGTGTGCACAGGTGTGCAAACCCTCCCTCGGGGCGTGCAAATCCCCGCCAGGACAAAGTTCAGGGCGTGCAAATCCCACCGGGGCGTGCAAACCCCTCCCCCCCCCACATTGTGCCCCGCCCCCAAGGTCAACCCGAGGTCACGGGGTGGGGTCACACGGACGGGAGCCGTGAGGGATGTGGGTGTGCACAGGTGTGCAAACCCTCCCTCGGGGCGTGCAAATCCCCGCCAGGACAAAGTTCAGGGTGTGCAAATCCCACCGGGGCGTGCAAACCCCTCCCCCCCCACATTGTGCCCCGCCCCCAAGGTCAACCTGAGGTCACGGGGTGGGGTCACACGCACGGGGTGGGGGAGGGGGTTGGGGGGCACACCTGGGGGTTCCTGGGCACTAATCGCTCTGCCCCTCCCCCCCTTGCTTCCCCCCCGGGACCCCCAGAGGAAGAACCCGCGGTGGAAGGTGAGTGACGGGGGGATTTGGGGAGGGGGATTTTGGAGGGGATTTGGGGGCGTGGCCGTGCAAAGCCCCGTGCCACACCTGGGCTGGGCGGGGTCTGCCTCAGGTGTTGTGCAAGGGGCGTGCACGGCAGCAGGGGTGCAAATCAAGGGGGCGTGGCCTGTGCTGCAGAGGGCGAGGTTTATGCAAAATATTGGCGGGGGCGGGGCTTGGCGCTCATGCGGAGCACGTGGTTCCCGTGACGCTCATTCAGGGGGCGGAGCCAAGCGAGGGGCGGTACCCTGCGGCTCCCGGTCCATGACGTCACTCACCGAGAGGGCCAATAGGATGCGGTTATGCAAATGAAACCGGCACAGCCGAGCCAATGAAGCGTGTGTGTCGAGTGGGGGCGGAGATATGCAAATTTCAGCGGCGCCGGCAGCCAATGGGAGGAGGAAGCGAGGGGGCTGCTGTGAATTGGCTGAGCCCAGTCCCAAGGGGCGGGGCTTGCACGAGGGCAAGGAAAGGGGCGGAGCGTGGTTTATTCGAGGAGGCGTGGCCAGCTCGAGGGGCGGGGCTTGCCCCCCACGTGCCCCGCACGAGGGTCCCGGGGTGGGGGAGGGTCCCCGCGCCAGGGGCGGCCCCGCCCCCCCGTGTCTCATCCCCTCCCCCACCCCCGGCTTTTCCCCGAAAAACCTCGGAAAAAGGGGAAAAACCCGCGGGAAGGCGGCGGGGGGGGAAAAAGGGGAGGGGCGGCGCTTCCAGCGTGGCCCCGCCCCCCCCGCGCTTTCGGTCATTTTGGGTTTTTTGGTTAATTTTTAATTTTTTTAATTCTGATTTTTTTTTATGTTTATGTTTTTTAATTGATTTCTCTTTCATTCCCATTTCCCTCTATTTTTCCCATTTTGCCGCTTTTCCTTTACTGTTTCCTTTTTCCCCCCCTTTTTTCTTTTACATTTCCCGTAATTTTGCCTTTTTCCTTATTTTTCATTGTTTTAGATTATTTTCCCTTTTTTGTTAATAGTGTTTCTTTTAATATTTTTCTTTTTCTCGTGATTTTCCCTTTATTTTAATTATTTCCCCCTTTTTACGGATTTTCTACTCTTTAAGATATTTCCCCTTTTAAAGTAATTTCCCAGTTCATTATTTTTCCTTTTTTTATTATTCCCCATGTTAATTAATATCTTTCTCCTTTTTTATCGTTATCTTCTCATATTAATTATTTTTCCTTCTGAAATTTTTTTTCCTCTTTCAATAAATACTTTGAATATTCCACCTTTTATATCAGAGTTCTTTTTTCACCTTCATTTTTTCCCTTCCCTTTGTTGGTCTTTTTCTTCTTTATTTTCCCCTTTTAGAATTATTTTAATTTCCCCCACTTTTTCCCTTTTTTTTTTCCTTTTCTCTTTTCCCTTGTGCTGCTGACTTCCCCTTTTTATCAATTTCCTCCTTTCCCCTGCTTTGACCCTTTTCACTTTTTTCCTCTTTTTCCTCCCTTTCCCCGCTTTCATCCCTTTCCCTCCTTTCCTTCCTTTTCCTTTTTTCCTTTTTTCTATTTTTTCTTTTTTTTCCCCATTTCCCCCCCTTTCTCTCATTTCCCTCCCTTTCATTATTTTTATTTCCTCCCCCAATTTCCCATTTCCCTCCACTTTGCCCCATTTCCCTCCCCCCACCCCGAGTTTAACCACTTTCCCGTTTTTTCCCCCCAAAACTTCCCGCCCTGACGCGCCCCTCCCCCAGGGCCCGCCGAGGTCGCCGAGGGGGGGCCCGGCCGCGGCGCCGGCGAGATCCAGCAAGCAGCGAAAGGTCAGTGAGGGGCAGCGGGACCCCCATCCCTGCACACCTGGGACCCCCAAACCCCACAGCTGTGAACACCTGGGAACCCCCAGGAACCCCAAACCCCACACCCGTGCACACCTGGGAACCCCCAGGAACCCCCAAACCCCACACCTGTGCTCACCTGGGACCCCCAGAACCTCCCAGGATCCCCAAACCCCCAACACACACCTGAGATCCCATAACAACGTCCCCATCACAATGTCCCCATGACAACGTTCCCATCACAATGTCACCATGACAACATTCCCATGACAATGTCTCCATGACAACGTCCCCATCACAACAGTCCCCATGACAATGTCTCCATGACAACGTCCCCATGGCAACATCCCTGTGCCAACATCCCCATCACATTGTCCCCATCACAATGTCCCATCACAATGTCCCCATGACAACATCCCCATGGCAATGTCCCTGTGACAACATCCCCATGACAATGTCCCCTTCCCATGACAACGTCCCCATCACAATGTCCCAATGACAATATCCCCATCACAATGTCTCCATGACAACATCCCCATGACAACATCCCCATCACAATGTCCCCAATGTCCCCATCACAATGTCCCCAACCACAACCTCCCCATTCCCTGCCGCCAGCTCCCACCAACACCCCCCAGTGCCACACCCCCCTTGCCAACCTCCCCATTCGCCGTCCCCACACGGCGTCCCCGCTGTCCCCACCGCCAGGCCGCGCCGAGTACGTGGCCACGTTCCGGGGCAGCGAGTTCTTCTGCTACGACGTGTCGCGGTCGCCGGTGCAGAGCAGCGCGGACGAGCTGGCGCTGGCGTTCCGCACGCGGCAGCGCCACGGGCTCCTGCTGCACACCGGCCGCGCCGCCGACTTCCTGAACCTGTCGCTCAAGGCCGGCGCCGTGTGGCTCGTCATCAACCTGGGCGCCGGCGCCTTCGAGGCGCTGGTGGAGCCCGTCAACGGCAAGTTCCACGACGGCGGCTGGCACCACGTGCGCGTCACGCGCAACCTGCGGCAGGTACGGCAGGGAGGGGGCGGGAGGGGAGGGGGGGAGCGTAGGGTGACCGCTCAAGGGGTCACCTCGGGCAGCTCCCCAACTGGGAGCACTGGGAGAGATGGGAGCCTTGGGCAGGTCCCCAACTGGGAGCATTGGGAGAGATGGTTGGTTTGATCAGCTCCCCAGCTGGGAGCATTGGGAACCTTGGGCAGCTCCCCAACTGGGGGCGATGGGTGTCTTGGTCATCTCCCCAACTGGGAGCACTGGGAACCTTGGGCAGCTCCCCAACTGGGAGCATTGGGAACCTTTGACAGATCCCCAACTGGGCGTGATGGTTTGTTTGATCAGCTCCCCAAATGGGAGCACTGGGAGAGATGGGCAGGTCCCCAACTGGGAGCACTGGGAGAGATGGGAGCCTTGGGCAGGTCCCCAACTGGGGGCAATGGGTGGCTTGGTCAACTCCCCAACTGGGAGCACTGGGAACCTTGGACAGATCCCCAACTGGGCGTGATGGTTGGCTTGATCAGCTCCCCAACTGGGAGCACTGGGAGCCTTGGGCAGGTCCCCAACTGGGAGCCTTGAGTGGCCACCTGATGGGTCTTCTCAGACAGTTCCCCAACTGGGAGCATTGGTTGCCCTCACCAGTTCCCAACTGGGAGCACTGGGAGCAATGGTTGAGTTGATCAGCTCCCCAACTGGGAGCACTGGGATGAGACTCTTGGCCAACCACCCCAACTGGCACCACCAAGCATTTTGCTGTGAGCTCCATAACTGGGAGCACTGGGAGCACTGGGATCAATGAGCGTCTTGGTCAACTTCCCAACTGGGAGCACTGGTTGTCTTGGGTAACAGGAAATCCAGTTACCTTGGTCATCTCCCCAACTGGGAGCACTGGGAGCGATGGGTGTCTTCATCAACCACCCAACTGGGAGCACCAGTACCTTGACCAGCTCCCCAACTGGGAGCACTGGGTGTTAGGTTAAACTAGAGAACTGGGCATACTGGGAGCAATGGGTTCCTCAATCTGCTCCCCAACTGGGAGCACTGGTTGTGCTGGTCAACCACCCAACTGGGGGTGATGGACACATTGGCCAACCACCCAACTGGGGGTGATGGACACATTGGCCAACCACCCAACTGGGAGCACTGGGAGCCTCGATCCTGTCCCCAACTGGGAGCACTGGGTGTCTTGCTCAAACACCCAACTGGGAGCACTGGGAGCACTGGACACGCTGCTCAACCACCCCGCCGGCAGCACCGACCGCAGGATCTCTCTCTCCCCAACTGGGAGCACTGGCCCCAGTGCCACACCCCCCTTGCCAACCTCCCCATTCGCCGTCCCCACACGGCGTCCCCGCTGTCCCCACCGCCAGGCCGCGCCGAGTACGTGGCCACGTTCCGGGGCAGCGAGTTCTTCTGCTACGACGTGTCGCGGTCGCCGGTGCAGAGCAGCGCGGACGAGCTGGCGCTGGCGTTCCGCACGCGGCAGCGCCACGGGCTCCTGCTGCACACCGGCCGCGCCGCCGACTTCCTGAACCTGTCGCTCAAGGCCGGCGCCGTGTGGCTCGTCATCAACCTGGGCGCCGGCGCCTTCGAGGCGCTGGTGGAGCCCGTCAACGGCAAGTTCCACGACGGCGGCTGGCACCACGTGCGCGTCACGCGCAACCTGCGGCAGGTACGGCAGGGGGGGGGGGGGGGGGGGGGGGGACTGGGGGCGATGGGTGTCTTGGTCATCTCCCCAACTGGGAGCACTGGGAACCTTGGGCAGCTCCCCAACTGGGAGCATTGGGAACCTTTGACAGATCCCCAACTGGGCGTGATGGTTTGTTTGATCAGCTCCCCAAATGGGAGCACTGGGAGAGATGGGCAGGTCCCCAACTGGGAGCACTGGGAGTGATGGGTGGCTTGGGCCAGTCCCCAACTGGGAATGATGGTTGGCTTGATCAGCTCCCCAACTGGGAGCACTGGGAGCCTTGGTCAGCTCCCCAACTGGGAGTGATGTTTGGCTTGATCAGCTCCCCAACTGGGAGCACTGGGAGCCTTGGGCAGGTCCCCAACTGGGAGCCTTGAGTGGCCACCTGATGGGTCTTCTCAGACAGTTCCCCAACTGGGAGCATTGGTTGCCTTGACCAGTTCCCAACTGGGAGCACTGGGCAGCCACCCAATGGGTTGTCCTGGCCAGTTCCCCAACTGGGAGCACTGGGATGGGACTCGTGGCCAACCACCCCAACTGACACCACCGAGCATTTTGCTGAGTTCCCAACTGGGAGCACTGGGAGTGATGGGCATCTTGGTCAACTGCCCAACTGGGAGCACTGGGATCAATGGGCATCTTGGTCAACTGCCCAACTGGGAGCACTGGGATCAATGAGCGTCTTGGTCAACTTCCCAACTGGGAGCACTGGTTGTCTTGGGTAACAGGAAATCCAGTTACCTTGGTCATCTCCCCAACTGGGAACAATGGGAGCGATGGGTGTCTTCATCAACCACCCAACTGGGAGCACCAGTACCTTGACCAGCTCCCCAACTGGGAGCACTGGGTGTTAGGTTAAACTAGAGAACTGGGCATACTGGGAGCAATGGGTTCCTCAATCTGCTCCCCAACTGGGAGCACTGGTTGTGCTGGTCAACCACCCAACTGGGGGTGATGGACACATTGGCCAACCACCCAACTGGGGGTGATGGACACATTGGCCAACCACCCAACTGGGAGCACTGGGAGCCTCGATCCTGTCCCCAACTGGGAGCACTGGGTGTCTTGCTCAAACACCCAACTGGGAGCACTGGGAGCACTGGACACGCTGCTCAACCACCCCGCCGGCAGCACCGACCGCAGGATCTCTCTCTCCCCAACTGGGAGCACTGGTTCCATGGACCCTCCCAAACTGGGAGCACTGGACGCACGATGGGGGAGGGGTCTCTGCCCAACCCCCACAGGGGGTGACCGGTGGAGTTCAGGGGGTTTCTCCCCCCCCCCGCCCCCCCTTTTCTGACAACTCTGCTTCTCTCCCCCCTCTCCAAGGTGGGCGCCGCCCCTCCCCCTCCGTGCAACGCC